CTCAGCACATTTGCTCTGTTGGATGCACCAACCACTGGCTGCAGGTGGCTTTGTAACCAAATTAAAATAAAACACAAATGCAGCAGGGCTTCAGGGCAGCACCTCAGACCAGAGAAGTGCATCCAAGGGAAACTTGTGAAATCCAAATAAAGCCCGACAGTTAGTTAAGAGAAACACGTGAGGCTTACTTCCTGGTTCTGACAAGCTCACCCTGGGAGATTCTCACAGGGGAAACTGAGTCAAGGATCTGCAGGGTAGCCTGAGGCTGTAGCTCAGTGGTAGAGGGCTTGCCTAGCCACATGAGGCCCTGGGTCCCATGCTACCATCCCGTTCCCCAAAATTGAATTTGAAAAGAAACAGTGTACAGGGACTTTCTCTGCTATTTTTTTTTCCCTACTTGTTTGTAAGCATGAAATTGTCCCCCAAAAGAGTTTTAAAGTTATTAAATCAAAGTAAGTTAAGATTTCCATATCCCAGGCACTCTGGTCATATGAGAAGCACAAATGGCCAGTGGCCTTGGTGTCGGGTGGGAGACACAGACCGTGTTTGTGGCCCCCACAAGCCCTACAGCGAAGGCCAGCACTGCTCTCTGCTGTCCCTTGTCCTGCGGTGACTCAGGCACAACACTCAAAGAACGCCATTTCTTACTCTATTTTTCTTCCCCGTGCCTGATACTATTTCTCTCTCCACAAACCAATACTTCCACGGTGTGTGCTAAAGCACCCCAGAGGGGGCCTTTGACGTTATCAGCAGTTACTGAAAGGCTCTCAGGAGTTCTCTTGTGGCCTGAATGGCTTTTCATTTAGAAAGCCTGGCAGCAGGCAGCCCTAGCAAAGCCACTGAATCCACAGGACCCGTAACTCTGGTGACATTATGAGAGGCAACGAGGGCCCGATGCTGGCCCAGTAGTCACCGTAAACATCACCCAAGACTTAAAGAGAAGAATGTGCTCATAGGGCTCAGGTTTACGTCTAGATCTCTCCTCCCCAGCCAGGAACTTGGCTGTTTTTTTTTTTTCAAATAGCAAAAGGAATGAACCAGCCCTGCCTTGAGCCTGAAGACAAGGTAGAAGGCAGGAGGGCCCCTGGAATTAAAGCTGAGCTTCCCCCGCCCCTACCCCTGTGCAGGCTGGTGAGGCTAATCTGTGGTTTCCTGACATTGTTAAGTATCCTGTGTTTTCCTTCAGGAGAGACCAGAGGGATATCTGTGGTCAGAAAATGTGACTTAGTGTTCTACATTACACACACACACACACACACACACACACACACACACACACACACACACACACACGGTAAAAGCTCTCCACTGATAACAGAGCCCAGTGCTGGTACTGCTTGGCAGCTGCTCATGAAGCTAGCACTACTCACCCTCCCTTTCCCTCCACAGGCACAGCCAGCATGTTCTACTTTCAGCACCCCTGGTTTGGCAGACCCTGTCCCAGGCTCCCTCCTGTCTAGACCACCCTACCAACCAACCCCAGGCCCACCCCTCCCAGGCCCTTTTCTATTCTCAAGCTCACTCATGAAACTGGGATTGTTCCTACCTCAGGACCTTTGACCTGGCTGTTGTTGGCCGGAGTCCCTACCTCTCCCACCCCTCCCCGGCCCTACCTTATCACTGACCCTAAATCTTGTCCTAAATGTCAATTCTTCACTGAGGTCTTCTGAATCTCCAGTCACTGTCACATTGCCCTACTTTCACTCCTTAGAGCGTGCTTGGATTGCCTGGCCTGTTTCCTTTGTGCTTGTTTGTTCAAGTCTCCCATGATGTCTGTTCCCTAAGAATGGGAATCAGTGGCATTTTGGGGATAAAGGTGGTTGAAGGTCCATGAGATGGCTCAGCCGGTAAGCACACTTACTGGGCAGGCCGGACAATCCCTGGATGTCACAGTGAAAGGAGAGAATCAACTCCGCAGAGTTGTTCTCTGACCTCTGATGGTGTGGTACACACACACACACAAACACACATACACACACACACACACACACACACACACACATAAATAAAATTAAAAAAATAAAGGTGTTAATATGCTACCACTGTGACTTTCACACAAACAGACAAAACAGAAAACTCTGAGGTCAAGGCCCTGTATGTAGTGTCTCCATTGACAGGAGGCTACAACCCCAAGAGCTTGGGGATTTGTTCCATTTCCAAAGCAACCTCAGGTTCTTTCTGTGTCTGTTTCTCTTCCCACAATAAAATCCAATCTCCATGAAACTAAATGAGAAAAAAGAGCTAGAGAAAAACAAACAAACAAACAAACAAACAAACAAACAAACCCTGTGACCCCCTACATAGAAATAAAAGTGGACTTTTTCTTTACTCAGTAGACTTAGATTCAAATATAAGGAAAGAAGAAAATTGCATATCACTGGAACAATACCTGAAGGTGGAGGGTTGATAGAGGGAAGACAGAGGTCAGAGGGAGGATGGAGAATGGATGGGGGAGGATGGAAGAGGGATGGAGGGTGGGTAAAGGAAGGGAGAGGAGTAGATGGAGTGAAGATGGTGGGAGGATGGAGAGCAGAGGGAGGATGAGGGTAGAGGATGAGGGTAAGGCTGGGTATAGAGAATGGATAGAGGTGGGTAAAGGGAAAATGGGTGAAAGGAAGATAGGAGATGGAGAAGGGTAGGAAAGGAGAATGATGAGAAGCAGGGTGGATGAAGGGAAGATGATGGGAGATAGACAGAGGGAGAGAACTATTCTAGTTAGTGTTAATTGTCAACTTGACACAGCCCAGAGTTGTCTGAGAGGAAAGAGTCAACTGAGAAATCCTAGAAATCAGATAGACTTGTGGGGGCTTACCTTGATTGATATTTGGTTCAGGAAAGCCTAGTCCACTGTGGGAGGCACCATCCCTAGGCAGGTGGTCCAGGGCTGTGTAAGAAAGCTAGCTAATCATGAGCCAGTGAGCAAGCCAGCAAGCAATGTTCCTCCAAGGGTTTCTGTTTTAAGTCCTTGTGTGAGTTCCTGTCCTGACTTCTCCCAGTGATAGACTGTAACCTATTAGCTGAAATAAGCCTTCCCCTGAGTGCTTTATCACAGCAACAGAGGGAAATTAGAACAAGGGTAGATAGTAGAGTGGGAGCTGGAGAACAGATGTCGAAGAGATGTCGGTAGGAGGGCAGAGGGTAGATGGCTGGCTGGGTATCTTTACACTCCATAGTTAACACTTTCAAAACCAGGTCCTCTGCCATGATCACCCTCTAGGCTTCTAATATATGAATGGTAAAGAAGAGGGCTGGTGGGAGAAGCAGCATGGCCAAGACCCCAGAAAACAGGTTATAATCTCACAAACTAAAAACTTCTGCTTGCAGTAGACATGCTTGAATTTTCAAATACCACTAACGGAGAAAAGGCTTCACATTCATTTGGGGTACACTCCTCAGGACATGATATAGCTCCTGCGCCCCACAGTAGAATGGGTGTGAAACACAAAAGGAGATTTTACAACCGGAGACATTCTTCCCTGTCCCTGTGGGTCACAGCCTAGAGACTCCTGAAAGAGCAAGACCACTGCTGTGGGCAGCACTGAACCGATGTTCTGTCTCCCGGGACAGTTTATGAACTCCCACTGTTGTCCTTGAGCCCAGGGGCCTTTGCTGTGGGCCTCTCCTGTGCCCCATGGAACATTTAGCAAGACCCCTGGACCCTTCTAGAAGATGCCTGTGAGTGCCCTGCTCCCCCCCCCCATAGTCTTCTTAGACCCAGATTAATGCCTCCTACAGGGCAAAGCCTCCTAGAGTTGAGATCAGACAGGCTGGCAAGAGCATGATGTGCCGCGGATGAACGTGGTGGGAGGCCCTCCAAATGTACATCTGGGTCTCTTTCAGAACAGGGTGCACCCACCAAATCTCCAAAGAGAGCCTGACCACTCAGCCCCTTTGCCAGAAGGCTGGTTGTGTAGAACTCTAGGGCCTGAGGCTTGGGAAATGCCATGCTAGGTTCCTGAGGTGTGGGCAGCCATTGCCAAGGTCCCTCCTGCCCCTTTTCACCATCTCCCCATCATTTCTTGAGCCCTTAGAAGGCCAGCACACTTGATCTTGATGCTGTGCCAAGGAGTGCCCTTGACATGTTTCTAGGTGAAGGAGGGTCTGTGAATCTCAGGCTTCTACAGAGATCCAAGCCAGCCTCATCCGGCCCTCCATCCCCCACAGGTGACAGCACAGGGCACTAAGAAGCCTGTGTGTAGTGAGAGTAGTCTCTGAAGAAGGGACTGATGACTTGTGGACTCATGCAGCAATAAAGCCAGGCTCTGTGTGGAGCCTTTAAGACCAGAGCACCAGGAGACACCCGTCCCTACCCGCAGTACGCCATGGGAGGACAGCCTCAAGAGAGAGAACTTTGACTGCACCGAGGCCACACACTGCAATAAAGACTGTGAGGCAGAGGGCCCCAGACAGAGAAGTCAGGGAAGGCTGCATGGGGGAGGGAAACGCAGGAGAAATCAAAAGTTCTCCCTGTTGGCAGGCCCTGTCACCTTCTTAGCATCTAAGAACTAGACGGCACCTAAGACATCTCTGGACAATGCTCACACCTAGTAGAGGAACTGCACCTCCAACGCCGCCATTCAGCTGCCTCTGCAGAATAACTTGCGTCCTCACCAAGAATCCCATTTCCTTCCCAGAACATTCTGTTCAAAAATTCCCCTGTAAAACCCCACATCCTTTTAGCTTCTACTCCTCAGTGCTGGTGAGAACCATGTGGAGCTGCTCTGCCCTGCATCTGGAAAGATCTCTGACCTCTGACCTCACCCAGCCAGCTCTCATCCTGAGCACTTCAGGAGCGTGAGGTCCCCAGACCTGCAGCTGGTCCTGCCTGGGCATCACCACCATGCTGAGAAGCAGCCTTCGGGGACCTGGTCTGGACCGTCTCCAGGTCTGGTCCACAAGGCTCCACAGCAGGCTTCAGGACCCCCGGACCCGCAGTCTCATCTTCCCAGTAGTGGGTACATAGCCCTCCCACTGCCCCCAAGCTGCTGAGTGGATCTTACCTGTTGGAGGCAGAGAGCTCCTGTGAGGGCCAGGGCTGGCTGAAATCCCAGGAGAACTGCTGGGCCGTTCCCAGGTGGTCTCTGGTCAAAGGAAAAACAAGATCACTTTGAGAATGGCATGGCGGAACCCAAGCATCACAGAGCAGTCAAGGCAGTCACCTTCCTTCCTTACCTCAGCCCCACGGCCTTACCTCAGCCCCACGGGAGCCTGCTTCTTGCCTGAGCTCCCTACTCCTCACACCCAGCCCTCATGGAAGAGCCTCTCTCAGCCAAGGCCCTTCTCTACACTGTGGACCTGAGGAGGTGGCTTCCAGCGGAGAGCCTTCCACCGTCTCCCCACACCTCTCCTTCTGTCCCTACGGCTCCCATCTCTAGTCCCAGAATCCGCAGCTGCACATGGGGCATTTCTCCTCAAAGCCTGTGGCAACCTCAAACCCTGGAGCACAGAGCGAAGGACCTTGGCCTGTAGAAAGATGGTGAGCCCTGGGTGCCTGCTCTGCCCTCAGCTAGGTCGCTCGTTTTAGTTTTTGGAGTCCCTGTTCCACCATGTAGCCAGGGTGACTTGTGATTCTCCTAGCTCTGCCTCCCAAGTGCAGATGACAGTCATGTGCCCCCTCCCAGCCACCTTCCCTGGCATGTTCTGTGTCTTGGTTGAACGACATGCTTTCGTGGCCTTCCTGGTTGCCTCTCCCGGCACTGAGCTCTACGGGCTGGTCAGAACTTTACCAACACTACCGCTCAATTCCTGTCCCCCAGAGCGCAGGGCTGTGAGCAGGCTCCCCACAACATTAACTGGTGGTAAAAATAATACATTTCTGTAGTCATGTGTGGTGGCCCACATCTGTAATCTCTGCACTAGGGAAGCTGAGGCAGGAGAATCAAAAGCTTAAAGCCAGGGCTTAGCAAGATGGCTTAACAGGTAAAGGAATTTGTGGCCAAGCCTGGTGACCTGACTTTGATCCTAGAGCCCACAATGTAGATGAAAAGAAGTCTCCCACCCCCTCTCTCCCCCCCCTCTCTCTCACACACACACACACAGTAATAAAACAAGGGTTTGAAGTGAGTTCAAGGCCACCCTGGACAATTTAGTGAGACTCTGTCTGGAGACAAAACCTTTTCTCACTACATACACTTTGAGAATGTAGGAGAAAGCCAGGAGGAAACAAACATTACCCATAATCCTCAGAGGTCGGCACTCCCTACAGTTTGTTTTTGTTATTTGGGGGAATCTTTTGGTAGTTTTTTTGCCGGTCTGCTGGGCCTAGCCTCAGACTTGTAGTCAGAGCTTCCTATCTCAGTCTCTGGAGTGTCAGGGTTATAGGCGTGTGCTACTGCTCATGGCTGCTGACTGCGTGATTGTCTTTGAAAGAGAACATGATTTCCCTGCACTCTCTCTCCATGTGATTCTCTTCTTAGGCCATGACAGTGGCAAGGGAAAGAGTCAGCATCCCAGCTCTGCCTCTGGTGACCAGCACAATCTGAACCAATCTCTCAGGTACTCAGGGCCTCAGTTTCCCCTTTTGCAGAGTGAATTTTACAACAGCAACAGTATCGGCACCCAAAGGAGGCACAGCCACACTTCATACATGAGGTTATTTTTTTAAGAATTTAAACAAAATATGAATGGATATAACATAATCCAATTAAACTTATGTCACTAAAAAGGTAATTGTTTCAGATGACAAAAACAAAACCAGCTCCCTTTTGACAGCCTCCCCTGGCTGCAAATCCAACCTGAGTTCTCTCCTCAGCTTCTGCAGTACCCCAGACTAGCCACACCAGCCACCAAGACCCCTGCCTTCGGCCTTGACAGCCACACTTGGAACCTATTCTGTGTTTTAGGAGGCATGGATTGATTGAGGGATCCCGAGATTTGACTTCACAGGGTAACATGGTCCCTTCCTGCCTCAACGAGGAGAATGCAGCTAGACAGGGAGAAGGAAACACCCCTGAGCAAGCAGATGTGACGTAGGGGTCAGGCCTCAGGCTGAGCGTATGAGACTCTGGGTTCCATCCCCAGTACCACAAAAGAGAGGGAGCTTCCTGAGGAAGCAGACAAACCTCTAACCTAACTCCTCCGTAAGGAGGTCTCTCCCCCGATCTGCCTGTGGTCAGCTTGCTTGGAAGTCAGACTGCTACCCGAGTCTATAGCTTTCCTCTCCAGCTCTGGCCTCCTGGCGTCTCCAACCCAAGATCCAAAAGCAGAAATCACCTGCTCCACTGCCCCTCACCAGGCTGGCTGGGGGTCTGACAGTCCTTTGTCAAGGGGTCGCTGCTCCTCATGCTCTCCCTGCATGATCTGACCTTCCTGCCTCTTGGCTCTCCCATCCCAGGCTAGCAGGCTGCTGGCCTCAGAACTCTCCCAGGAAGCTACAGCCTGTCCTTGTCTGTCTGCCTAAACTGTCTTCTTGGCAGGCCCGGTTAGCCCGCCCTGGTGATTTCTGAACATTCCTCTACTGTTCTCTTTGCCTATTCCCATGCCTGGAGATCACCATCTTACGTATTTAAGAAGTCTCAAAGTGCCTCCTCTGCCATTCAGAGTTCCAAGATTGCTTCCTTTTTCTAGACCATATACTCACTTCCTTACCCCACATTAAAAAACAAAACAAAACAAAACAAAACAAAACAAAACAAAAACCCACTGGAGTGGGTGTGGCAACTTTCTTAGCACATCCCCCCACCCCTCCACCCTGCAGCTGCTCACCAACGAATTCCTCTCAAGATGCTGGCTCACCCTCCCCACCTGCATGGGAGGGCAGGAGACAGAGATGTTCATATTCTATGAGTCAGCATGAGGGAGTCAAAGGTCTAAGCAAAAATTCTGAGGTGCTCGCTCCCCCAGCTCAGAGATCTAGGTAGGGGTACAGAGGGCTCTCAGCAGCACACTGTTCACTGCTCGCTGTGTTCCCCAGGGCTCCTTCCCAGCATCCTCCCTGCTGACCCTTGTGCCTCAGATGAACCAGGGCCCAGCATAGCACACATTTCCCAGCCCTTGGATGGTCACAGGTTTTCACCTTGACCTTGTCCTTGAGCATGGCAGCCCTGGCTGCTTCATTCCTTCATGAGCAGTCCCTCAGCAGCCAACAGGGATGAACACTGTGACAGACCGTGAACAACCACAACCTGGTGTGCTTTTCCGCTATCTGTTGATAAACAGACCCCCGTTCCACCTACACTCAGGGAAGAGCCCCAGAGAACTGGGCCCATCTGTTTGTACTGCTGACTCCTTCCTCTGGTAGCTGAGGCTACTGACCTCACACACACCGTCTCCAGCTTATGTACAGAATCTGCTATTTCATCTTCTGGCCACCACAGGGTCCTAATTTTTGCCATTGTATATGCAGCCGTCTGGTACCTGCTAACCTTAGCAAGCTAACAAACAGGGAGAGATAAAGGCATGGCTTGAGAAGCTGTGCTCACTCCCACCCCCAAGCAGGAGATGAAGAGCCGGAGAAGCTGGGGCTCCTCCTCCAAGGAAGGCAGTGGGGAAGGGCTAGGACAGCGGTTCTCAACCTGTGGGTCGCAGAGCAGATATCCTGCCTATCGGACATCTATATTACGATTCCTAACAGTAGCAAAATTACAGTTATGACGAACCAACAAAGTAATGTTGTGGTTGGGGTCACCACAGCATGATGAACCGTATTAAGGGGTTGCAGCATTGAGAACCACGGGGCATCTTGTTGCTCAGGAGGCTGTTGGAAGTGTCTTGGAACCCACAGAAAGAAGCTTCCTGAAGGTGGATACTTGCTATCCAAGAGGCTCCTGGTCAGGGCTTCTGTCCCTGTACTCTCTGCCCTAGGCCACTCCCGGTCCCTTGTAAGTGCTGTATCCTACTTCAATCTCTAGCTGGCCTTCTGCAGGAGCAGGCCTTCTGCCTGAGGCCACAGCCCAGCCTATCTCCTGGCCTTGGCCAGATGTGAACTATGTAAGACCTGAGGGCAACTGTAAACCTGAAGCAGAATTCGGCCAGACCATCTGGAGGGGCCAGATGGAGAGAAAAACTGTGGGGCTCTGACAGAGCAATCACACCACCAGCACAACCAATCCTACAGGTGACGCCATCCAGAAGGAGGAAGCCATTCCCAGGACTTCTGCAATGAAGATCCTATAATCTCTTTCCAGTGACCAGGCTCTGTGGCCTGGTCCAAGCCAGACTAAACAGGTGGCTGAGAGCCCAACTTGCCCAGATCAAGGCTCTTGAGTATTCTCTGGGCTTCCATGATTAGGACCCTGAGCCACTCCAGGCAGCTGCTACCACAAGGGCCCTGGGCACTGAGTAAGTTGCAGTGACATCAGAATGGAAGGAGTGAGCTGTCCCTCAGGGACACCCAACCCAGTTCCCACAGAACACACTTTCCTAACTGTAGCCACTCCCTTCGAACCTTGTCCACTGAAACCAGGGCAGCCAGACACACACAGACAACTGGGCATGGGTGAAGCCAGCCCAGGGAGCTTGCTTTCTAAATGTAGGCTCCTCACTGTGGCTTACACGGCCTGGCCTTCAGAAAACAAAACTTAAGAGAGAGCCCAGTTGAACAGTTGAATGCTGTGGAAATCCAGCTTTCAAAGTACAGCTGTCTGCTCTTTAGTAAATAACGATTAAATACTTAGGATGATGAGTGAGGCAGGAGCTAGTAATTTGAAATAGTCACCTCTAGGCGTTCGTGCCCTTGCTAAGACTGCCTGCATTAGGGGCTCACACCTCCACTGGGGAAGCTAAAGACCCCCCCCTGGACCTCACCACTGGTTCCAAGTATTTGCCATGGGTCTACTTACAAGCCCTTGTGTCTTCAAGTATCATCCTTCCCCACAACGGCTTAGTTCATCTCCAGGCCCATATAGTGACTTTCTTCTGCCCTCAGAGGCTGTAGGTGAACTAACAAGCACTAGCCAGCAGGAGCCCTCCCCTTTCTTGCTTCCTTATTCCTTTCTCTTTAGTGCTTCCCTTGACCCTGAGACAAGGTCCTATATAGCCCAGGTTGCCCTTACACTCACTACGTAGCCAAGGATGACTTTGAATTTCTGGTCATCTTGCCTCCACCTCCTGAATGCTGGGCTTATTGTCATGTTCTACCATG